GCGCTCGGTCGGTCTTGTGATCTTTAGCACCATTCGTGCGCAAGCGTCATCCACTCCTATCCTCATGCACCGTTTCACTACTCAAGACTTGTTCTAATAAAACAATACATCTGCACAATCTTATGTCAAGCTGCTTATACTCATGTCGAAATGGTTCCTAGCCTGATTTCTTCAAATTGGTTGCATAACATTCTCTCTCTCCTCTGCTCTTCGTCAGCTCACAGTCAGAATTGGAGTCATAATATCTGGCAGCAGAGTGTTCAGTGGTAGCCACCGAACGCTGTCTCTTCTCTCTCTTCCTTCACTCTCGTCATTCGTCACGCGCGTCTGTCTCTTCTCTCAGTACTCTCTTGCAGCACGCGACTAGACCACTTTTTTTTCACGTAATAAACAATGCTAATTAACGCGTTGGCAACACGAATGTTGAAATTCTCTCTCACAACAATCAACGCACTGCGCAGGAGGGTCGTACGCTCTGCTCTCGTCTTTCGTCTCTCCTCTCCTCTCTCCACAGTCCCCTCTCTGCGCTCTCTTCGCGCTCAGCTTACCTCTGCTGTCTCATGCTAGCTTCTCCGTCGCTCTTTTTTCTCTGTTCTCTACGTTTTTGTTGATTTGCTTTTTGGCGTTCTCCTCTCCTTCTATGACCCGTCTCTCTCCCCACCTCTCTTTTCCGTTCGCTCTCGTTCTCTCTTCTCTCCTCTATCTGAGTGTCTCTCTCTTCTCTCTGCGCCTCCAGTCTCTCCTGCTCTCGACTTGCGGGCTTGGTACGCGTTCCCGTCTCTCTGCTGCTCTTCGCTCGTTCTTCTAATGAACGGTGCTTGCAAAGTGTAATGAGAAATTAGGAACTTTTTAAGGATATTTTTTAATATCCTCCCTCTCGTTTTCTTTCTCTCTGCCTCTTTCTCTCCCCTCTCTTCTCATCGAGTTGGATTTGACAATGATCTCTCTCTCTCTCTCTCTCTCTCTCTCTCTCGCTCTGATCCGGTGAGAGAGTTAGCGTGGTCGTGACACCGTGTCCTGTCACCTGTTTCTACGTGATTAGTTGACGGATGGCAGGTTGGTGCTAATTAGAAAGCTGCGGAGGTGCGAATGGCGGGGACGTGGGTGGCAGGCATGCAGCGTGCAAACACAGGTTGGTTGGATGGCTGGATGGCTGTTTGTTGGTGTTGCTGTTGATGTTGTTGTTGTTGATGTTGTTGCTGTTGTTGTTGTGTTTGTTGATGTTGTTGTTATTGATATTGTTGTTGTTGTTGTTGTTGTTGTTGTTGTTGTTGTTGTTGTTGTTGTTGATGTTGTTGTTGATGTTGATGTTGATGTTGTTGATGTTATTGTTTTTGCTGCAGCTGCTGCTGCTGGAGCACATGGGAACTGATGCCTTTTTCTGTGTTTGCCCTCTCTCTATCTCTCTTTCTCTCTCTCTATCTATCTGTCTCTCTCTCTCTTCCTCGTGCACTCTCCATACCCCTCTAGCTCTCTTTTTCTCTGTCTCTCTTTCTCTCCATCTTACCCTTTCTCTCCCTCTCTCTCTCTCGCACTCTCGCCCCTCTCTCTATCCCCCTCTTTCTGTGTGTTGCGCACTCTCTCGCGCTCTATCTGTCTCTTTCCCTCCACCCCATCACCCACCACCTCTCTCAAACTGCGTGCTATATTACTTGTTTGAAATGAGCCTGTTGATAGGTTGCTCTCAGATCTTCACTTCGCTCATCATGATCAGTCACGAGTGTTGTAACACTGAGCAAGGCAGTGCAGTACCGCTAGCATTGACGAGGCAGCATTGATGAAGCCTTTTATAATTTTATTTGTTTATTACTTCTTTCTCACTACATATAGAACTTAGATAATTTTCTCTTTTTAGTTTTTCATCGTTCGTTTGTTTTCTCTTTGATTATCTCTCTCTCTCTCTCTCTATTTCTTTCTCTCTCTCTCTCCTTCTCTCTATCTCTCTCTGTCTATGTCTCTCTCTCTTTTTCTCTCTCTCTTTCGCTCTCTCTCTCTCTCTCTCTCTCTCTCTCTCTCATACTCTGTCTCTCTCTCTCTATATATATATATATTTGTTTCTCCCTCTCTATCCTCCCCCTCTCACCCACTCTCTATATCGCGCGCGCTTTCATATGGTCCCGTTCTCCACCTCACTTTTCATTTTCTCTTTCTCCTGCTATCCGTCTCTCCCTTATCTCCCCCTCTCTCTCCCCTCCTTCTCTCCCCCCGTCCTCTCTCCCCTCCTTCTCTCCCCCCGCCTTCCTGTCTTCCCGATCTCAATAGCCACTGATTACTCTTCGCTTCTTTGTTCGCCGCACAGACGCGTTTTTGCGTCGTTACCGCGGTAACGAGTTTTCCTCCGCTCTTTTCTCCTCATCGTCGTCCCCACGACGTAATGGATCGTCTGCTTTTCTCCGAAAATATTCGACTAAAAATACATCGGCGGGAGCCGTGCGTCAACACCGTACGTGCGTGCGTCTGCTCTCTCCATCAGCTGTTATATCGTATACGGAGAGCGTTTTAACAAAAAGGAAAAATGGTTTCATAAATCAATTAAACGAGACGTGATTCTTGAGCGGCGAGAGAAAAAAAGAGGGTGGGGTGAGGGTGAGGGAAGCGCAGCAAGCATCCGCTCTAACGTTGTTTACTACGCGTGTGAGATGTTGACGTTGATACCTTGTAGTTTTTGGACCGTGCACGATCCGCGGCGTACGCGTCATAAGCTGTCTCAGGGCGCGCGTGCCAACTGTGGTTCTTACACTAAGATAAATTTCACACTCGTTATATATATGTATACCGTGAAGAAGGTATCATCGAAGCTATAGTAATAGTATAATGCTTCCAGTTTCCATGTTTTTCGTGGGAGGGGGGGGGCGTGTATAGCGCATTCGATCTCTATAGTTTGTGAGAAACCCAGGCACGCACTCCGAGGCGGATTTTTGCCCCGTACAAAAATTCAAGCGTTTCAAATATACGTACGACCAAGAGCGTATAAAGAAGACCTTCTTGATACGCTCTTGGTACGACGTGCGTTTTTAGCTATAGACTGATTCCAAGCGTTCCCCGCGGTTTAAGCCCATAAGCCGCTGTTGATGCAAACAACGACTCGCGGGGTCAGTGTAAATTTAAACCCGAAATGTTTCCCGGCGGGTGAAAGTGCTGCCGTAAGTGAAATTAAGTAGACTTGTAAATTGCGCGCATATCGAGTGTTTAGCGTCAAGCGTGTTTGCACTTCGCGATAAAGGTTGAATAAGATTTCAACTTGAACTTTGTATTCAGGACTTTAGCGATAAAAACATTTCTTAAAAACTGCGCGTACGACGTACGCAATAGTTTGCGCTGAAGGCGCCACCATGATAATCGCCATCGTTGTCGTCGCCGTCATCGTCATCGTCGCCGTCATCGTCATCGTCGCCGTCATCGTCATCGTCGCCGTCATCGTCATCGTCGCCGTCATCGTCGCTTCGCCGCAGTCATCGTACCGAGGGTCAATGACTGCAAACGTTCGCATCGCCATCTGTGGCAGACATGACACGTGCGACATGTAGATATACATCTCTCTATCTGTCTCTCTCTCTCTCTCTCTCTCTCTCTCTCTCTCTCTCTACCCCCACTTTTTATACGTACATATAGCTCTCTATTACCCCACACATATATACA